GATGACATCATTAATAAGTAAGAGTATTTGCCGAATTTGCTTCCCATCCAATTCTACCACTCGATCTGAGGTCCGTTACCATTCCCATACCCTGTACTAAAATACTGGCATTTGTGAAACTTGACAAAAAGTCACATTTAAAGGCAATTAGCAGAAAATTAAGGATTTTGCCGGGAGCGCTGGCAATATAAGCTGAGCTTCATTTCGAGTTCCGACAAAATAGATGATTGAAAAACTTCAATTTCTCTGATTGAATAATTTGCATTTGCACCGCTTCCCATAAAGAACTGAGGTTTCTTTCTCTCATCGGACTAACATTACTGGAACGTTGGGAAAAAGTACGCCAACTTTCCAGCCTCATTTTTCGACAAGGGGGAATCCTGCTCGCGATTCAGTAGGAAACCGACTAGTCAGGTATTTTTCAAAGAAATGCTTTAATTTTAATGAATTAGTTTTCGTTTGCTCTATTCTCTGATCTTTCAGAAAAAGTATTTCCTCCGCTTGTGTTTCACCTCCACTACTCCAATTAATTGCAACTAGCAGCAACATTTACAGGCCTTGCTAAGGAACATTCCATTGAAAGTAAAAACAACGCCATAAAAGTGTGATCACATCAGGCTCATAAAAATACCAATATATAGTGGTATTTGAAAAAATCCAACTTGTCAAAGTGTCGATTCCATTCCAGGAAAATGTCATTTGCATGACAGAATGTCCAAGTAGAGCAGTTTACGGAACTCACCATTTTAAAATAATACCTCCGATATATAGTCTCGGATCAAAGGAAAGGATCATCAGCCAAACGTTGGTTTACCAAATCAGGATATAAAACGTAATGCTGTCGCTCTGAAAAAAGCCAAGTAAGCCAGCGTACCGTAAATCATGGTTCTGCGACGGAGTCGTTTCCGACGTTGGTCTGTCTCGTTTGCTGAATCCGTGCGACGAACGATGGTACGAGGAGGAAACAGTCCACTTCCAGAGCCACTTCTGCTGGTCACTACAAAACAGGGCTTGATGATGAACATAAACGGAGTGAGATTTTTCTATGGAAACTATCAATTTCACGATTCTCATTGAAAAGAATTAAAGCAAAGTCAGAAGAAATAAGAACTGGATGAAGAGAGGGGCAGAGAACTTAACGTCCAAATTCCCTTCATAGCAAATAATCCAACAATGGAGTAAGAGAGCCAATATGACTCATTGTTAGCAATAATGAAGCCTACACAGCTTCATCTAACCAGTTCCCTTACAAAAGGCTCACTCGGATGAACAAAGCCAGTTCTATTCCTTGCTTGTGTCCTCCTATATGTCTAAAACATGAAAATTAGGTCGATTTGGATCATTTTTCAAGTCTACTGGGCTTATTACTGAGTTTTTCAGCCCTCAGCCAGCCGAGAACTTCACGACGGAAACAAGCAGCGGTTAAATCCCATTGGATATTCCTTTTGGTAATGTGCTATGGAAACAAGCAACGAGGGCTATCCATAAAAACTATCTCTTTCAGGGACCAACCCGATCAGCTGCGCTCATCAACTGGGTGCAGTTGTTTGGAAACTCTTGGCGAAATCATTACGGTGATTCAACAGTTGAATCTCTGTAGTCACTCTGATAATGTCGGTTGTGGAGGGCAAGTCCGTCAAAAACCATTACATAGATAGCGAAGTACGCCCTATTTATCAACATCAAAGAATACCACTCTTGATGCTTATGTTCTCTGGTCGGCAATAAGCATTCATCGGAATCCTTCAAAAGTGGTTGTAAGGAAAGTCTGAAAAATACCCCCAAAGGGAAGCGAAAAAGAAAATCAAATGCGGTATCAAAGAATAGAGTTTCGTGGGAAAGCACTGATGCATCGATGTCGAAGAAAACGATCCGTTCCCATAGAACCGTAATATCATGAACTTCTTGAACTAATCATTTTTGTGGTTGGAAGAGGCTATGACGTTAAAGGTAGTGACCGAACAAAATCTGAATTGCTGCAGACAGCGAGTGTAAGATATTGGAGTGTATCAGCTGACTGCAATTTTAGAGTGGAAGGTCGTAAAAGACGTCCTCTTCGAGAGTGTTGAGCGGCACTGGGTAATGAGACTACCAATGAAATCTGGTAGCACCCTAAGAAGACCGCTTTTCAACTAGTATAATATCTCGTGTGTCCCTTCAGAAGGGGGTGACTCCTACCAGGTAGAAATCGTCAAAAATGTTCATATTTATCGACTGTAGTTGAATAGGAACCTCTTTCAACCTTGGGAGAAGTAGGCTCGCGATCTGATCTTTGACTCGTGCATGACATGATAGCAACAATCTCCAACACAACATCACACCCCCAAAATCACCAACGAGTGAAGCTTTGCAATAGAAGACTTGAGGATAGTCTTTGAAACCACTCAACCCCGTTTTCGGAATCGCTGTGGTGGTCTGAACGCGTATTTGACCTATACAATGACTTGCGGTATCCGACCGATGCCCAAGTCACTGGCTTTATCCTCCCACATGGAATTGGTACTAAGTAACCGACTCCAGAGGGATGAAAGACTTGGTTGGCTGGGCGAGTATCGGTCCGGAATATGGAAACCTCGGACTAAGCGTGCGTGATAGGGCGACGCTGCCCGTAACCATGACCTTTGAAGCTACATATTGCTACAAAGAGAAAGCTACGGAGAAAAATTCTGGAGGCAAGAGAAGTAAAAGCAGATTGACAGGAAGAAAAGTAAAAGTCGATCAGGATGGCGATTTGAAATTGAACTGGATA